AATGTTACAACTTTTAAGTTTTGTCTCGAGTTGGTGGCAAAATATCAGACCGACAACTGCAAATAAAAAGTGAATTTATTTACAATAGTGAAAGGAAGTCAAAAAGTAATAAAGTATTATTTACAAGATCTCACAACATAAAATAAACCAAACAATGTAGATTAAGGATGGGGGGGAGGAAATGAGAATTAAGTGGCGCCAAATAAATCAAAGCAAAATAACAAAAACCCCAAATCTAACTAATATTTACCCTCTAAACTGTCTAATACAAAATAACCAAACAAAACATCTTCAGCATTTACACGCTATAACTAAACTACTCTTCTAACCAAAGATACGGAAAAAACTAACAGCGGGTGTCACTCACTTCTTAACGAGTGTGTTCAGACAGTGGAGTTATCTGCGTGATAAAAAGTGTAAAAAAAAACACATACAAAAGCAAGCAAAGACAGCAAGTAAGTCAGAGCAAAATCAGAACGAGCTTCCCCGCTCGCGTCCCTTTAGACTGTGAGCTCCTATGCTGATTGGTTGTGAAGGTGATGACATCACAAGGTGGAATTGAGATTGACGTCTTCATGGACGAATGGCATACTGCGACAGAGAGAGAGAGGGAGGGAGCAAGCGAGCGAGAGAGGGAGAGAGAAAAAGAAGGAGAGAGAGCGCACACACACAAGCAAAACAAACAGGCATATACATATGACTGTAACAGAGTCGCTCCAGCACATTGTGTGTGTCTGTCTGTGTGTGTCTGTGTCAGGCCCGTTGAGGGGTGTCAGGGGATGAGTGAGCGACGTATCTGAGTAGGAGCGTGTGTACACGAGACGTACCTGAAGAGTGTTGGGGGTAAGTTGCGCGTGACGTACCTGAAGAGCGGTGAGGGCGAGTTGCACACCACGTACCTGAAGAGCGGGTGTGCAACGTATTTAAGGACCAGGCGGGAGACGCGTGATTTTCAGGAGATTATCATTCATTTGCGGGCATCCAGGAGTCTCTGTGCATTTGTGGGATACTCCTAGTCTTAGCAACTGGATGAATGTAAAGGAGGACTGAGCAAAATTGTTTCTACTTAATAATTAATGTTCTCAACTCACAGCAATACAACTTTACAATAAGTGCAACTATTTGTATTCAATAATTTATTATTATTATTATTATTATTTTCCAATTTTCATATCTTCAATGCCTGTATTTTGGCATTTTTTTGCACTCCACTTAGAATCCAACTTGGAAATAATTGGTATTGATTGTTTTGAAATTCAAAGGGCACTAACATGCCTATTTTAATTTCTGTAATAAACCTGTCTGTCAAGCCAGGATCTTTTAATAAACGATAAAATGTTGAATTTAAATAGTTTTTGTCTTGCGTTTACATTAATTTTACATTTAAATAGCCAAAATTACAAGTTTCAGTATTTTAAATGCGATTAATTTTTAAAAAAAAGGTGCGATTAATTATTTAATTTTTTTTATCGATTGACAGCATTAATATATATATATATATATACACATACACACACACACACGCACACACACGTGTATATCTGTGTATATATTTATGTGTGTGTGTATATATAGTGCTGTCAATCGATTAAATTTTTTTTTTTTTTGAAAATTAAATCGCGATTAATCGCATTTAAAATACTAAAACTTGTAATTTTGGCTATTTAAATGTAAAATTAATGTCAATGCAAGACAAAAACTATGTAAATTCAAAATATAATTGTTTATTAAAATTTGTTTAACTTGTAACACAGATTTCGTCATGTAAACAACATGCACAATAAACCATCAAGATCCTGACTTGATAGCCATATTTATTACAGAAATTGAAACATAGGCATATTAATGCTATTTGAATTTTAAAACAATCAATGCCAATAAAGAAAAAAAATTGATTTCCAAGTTGGATTCTAAGTGCACTGCAAAAAATAAAAATAAATAAAATAAAAAAAGCCAAAATACTGTCGTTGCAGACATGGAAATAGGAAAATTAATAATAATATTACTAAAACTATCGAATACAAACAGTTCCACTCATTGTATTTGTATTGCTGTGAGTTGAGAACATTAATTATAAAGTAGAAACAATTTTGCTTAGTCCTCCTTTACATTTATCCAGTTGCTAAGACTAGGAGTATGCCGCAAATGCACAGAGACTCCCGGATGCCCGCAAATGAATGATAATCTCCCAGAAATCGCACATCTCCCGCCCGGTCCATGAATACGTTGCACACCCCTCTCCACCGCATCCCTCCTAGCTCTTCAGGTACGCAACTCACCCCCACCGCTCTTCAGGTACGTCCAGCAGGCACATGCCCCTACTCAGATATGTCATTCACTCAACCCCTGATACCTCTCAACAGGCCTGAGACAGACACACACACACAACACATTGGAGCGACTCCCTTAAGATTCAACACGCATGATCGCGTTCATCAAATTTGCTTAAACTAAGCGTTCTAAAGTATGGCTGTATTTCACAAGGATTCTGACACAACAACACGAAGCATATGCTTTCGTTGCGTTTAATGAGGAAACACACTAAACTTGACTTATGCTGAAAGGCAGAGCAATGCGCTGTCTTTGACAGCTCACGACTTCACTAGAGACTTTCTGAGTACATTTACATGAGACACCAATACTCCAATTTTAATATGATTAAGATAGTACTCTTATTAAAAGTCTATCGTGTAAGCAGCAATTTAATTATCTTAAAGGACCACTGAGTCACGAAATGCAGAGGTTTTTCTTTCCGTTCGCCATGCGGTATCAAATTACATTAAAACAGAAGTCGAAAGTTAAAAATGAAACACCTGAAATTGCATGAAACTGGAGAGCCTAGTGATGCGACTAATTGTTTTATACTGAAACTTGCCTTCAAAAAGTGCTTCCTTGGTCTTATCCATATTTCTTGCATGTTGAACACGTCCACCACAACAGGAAGTAAAAAAAAGAAAAACCCTGCAACTGCGTAAATCTTTTTTAACGTATTAATTATTTCAAATTAATTGCATGCGTTAACGCACTAATTTTGACAGCACTAATTTATATTTATGTATATATATTTATGTATATATATATATGTATATATATATATATATATATATATATATATATATATATATATATATATATATATATATATATATATATATATATATATAGATAGATAGATAGATAGATATAGATACACATACACACATTGTATTAACAGACTGAACAGACACTGGACAGCCTGTTTGAACCCAATGCATATAAACAATAGCCCCTTTCACACATACAGACCCAGAAGGTTGTATGTGTGAACAGGTCCTTTTTGAAAATACCGGTAAATTCGTTCTGGCTATTTTCCGGAAAGAGAAGTTGTAACATTACCGGCAATTTGCCGGAATGCTGCGCTGTGTGAATGCAGAAGGAATATTGCCGTAATAAGCGCGTGCATGTCTAGAACGTGCTGACGTGAGACGTCTGCTTTAGCCAATCACAACAGTCAGACGCATTTACGTCCGCGCGGTTTATGAGAATAAAAGCCTTTGAATATTTTACCAGACACATTTAGCTGCTAGAAGTTAGTCAGATCACGTTTATATGTTCTTCTTAATGCCAACTGTGTAAATAATCATCGATGAGATGCTTATGATAAGCCGTTGTTTGTTTACCTTCAAGCTTTGCGTGTGCCCCCATAGCGCCAGCACACACACATATCATGAACATCTCTACATGCGAAAGTGTTCCTCTATATGTTTTCATAGGAGTTGTACTCAATACTGATCCATCCAAAGAGTTTGTAATGTAGTCAAATGTTTACAAACACAAGCGCAGCCGTTTAAAGGACATTTCTGGTTAATGATGTCAGAATTTACCGTCATTTTGCGATGGATGTGTGAATGCTCTTTTCCGGAAAAATTCCGTAACGTCCTCGCCTGTGTGAACAGCGCTTTTTTGAATATACCGGTAAAGTCGTTCCGGAAATTTTCCGGATATTTACCGGTATCACTGTGTGAAAGGGGCTATTGGGTCTCCGTATTCAGTCCTTTACTTCCACAGTGTCTGTACAGCTGAAGTAACTGAACCAGCCCTGTGACATAAGACACAGCAATATTTCAAGATGGCAGTGCCCTATGTCTATAACTTATAGTTAAACATGCAGTTTTCTTATAAATGGTTACATTAATCAAGTTTGTAATGTATATTTCAATTAAAGTGGAAACCAATGTACAAAATAATGTAAAGTTGACCGAGTACAACACAATTCAAATCCAGTTGAATTGAGTAGCCTAATATACTTTACCTTTTACTTTCTCTTTTCTTCAGCATATTTCCTATTAAAAAAAATGTAATAGTTTTAATTAATTATATATAAAATATATTTTTATAAATTTGAAATAGCCTATCATCTAAACTTTCAGGTATTAAATTTGAGGTGCCTGGCTGTAGCACTTAATAAGTGACAAACAAACCAATGATTTGCAGAGGATAACAACAAATATGCGTCCTGGCTTTATTTATAATGTACATAGACCGCACGTGGTCAAGACATGCCATTGAGAGAGCAAAAGAAGTGTGCACAGCCCCGCACGCATTTAAAGCAATTTCATGAGCAGCGGCTTCCTCACACGCACACATTATAGAACTACACAATATCATTATACACAACAGCCTAGGTAGGTCTACAATTACATCTATGAGAGATGTCTGGAATTAAACAGTTGCTGCTGCTCCTTGTGCACATTGAGGAACACTAAAGGGGCAAACCATCAGGTCATCTGATTTGATGACGATAGACCTCGCGATAGCCCCCCTCCTCAAATAAAAACAAAAAAAAAAACTGCGGATTTGTGCAAGTCACAAATCAGACGAAAATACGGAAATCCATAAACGGAAGAATCACATCCCTGTGTATTGTAGCCGTGGCCGGAATAAATTTTACGCCATAGAAGAATGAATGTAGCAGAAACCACATACATATATATACATAATAAAATCAAATCAGTCCAGCATTGTTCTCAAAGATTGTTTAATCAGGGTTTAACTCCTGATGTATTCAGTACACAACTGGTCCAATCATTCAAACAATCATTAACCCAGAAACAGTGAAAAAAAAATCTTCATCGTTTCCTAAACGTTTGCTTAATGACCGTCTAATAGTTACAGTTAATAACAAACAACAAGCTCAGCTTATTTGCAGTGTAAGTCCTAATAAAATCACACAACAAACTAGTTGATCTTCTGGTCCTTTTCAAGAATGCTGGCTCGGATACAAATAAAATCGAGCTACCACTTAAAATCCCCAGTTTTCACTTAAAAACAAAAAAAGGTTGCAGTGTTGTCTCAAACTCAGTGTAGGAAAGCATATTACTTACTTTTCCCAGAAGTGTAGTCTGATCCTACACAACCAGCAAAGACTTTCCTTCCACTATATTTCTGCAGTCTCTGTCTGTGAACAGCTCAGAATGCTCCAAGCACAAGACCGTCTCTTTGTGAACCTCAGACTGCAGAAAACACGCGCACACACACATTTCACCTTCGTGCCGGCTCTAGTGTGCCCAATATCAGCTACACCTTTCTCTGTCAGTCTTTTTTTTCTTCCCTGTCTGATGTCCTGTGTCCTTGTGCAGCCGGCTAAGGTTACGTCCTGCGGCGTTTGGCTCCTCCGGGACTGGAGGGGTTGCTGGAGTTCATCACCTTCTCCACGGCTCGGCTCCTCTTCCTTTTTTCCCCAGTCGATTCCTTCATCCCGCTGCCCGACTCACCTGAGGCCCCCTTCTCGGCCCGCTCTTTCTCTCGGCCGCTGCTCGATCTCTCCGACGTCTTCACGGAGGAATTGCTGCCTGACAAAGGGAGAAGGAGAAAGAAAACAAAGAACACAAGCAATTAATAACATGATTTTAAAAACATGCATAAAAAAATTCTCAAAGTGACAATTCCATCATTTACTTAACACTATTTCCAAACATGTTTCTGTTGAACACCAAAAAATATATTTTGAAGAATGTTAAAAAACCAATTCCACTGACATTCATAGTAGGAAAACTAAATTAGGGTATATACAGAACTTCTTGAGTTGAATTTAATACCTTTTGCAACCTTTTTTAATACCTTCAAAAAAAAATTACTACCAGCACAACTTGCAACTGTAGTGGCGTAAATGTAATATATTTTCTAAATTGAATTTTGCAGATAACATACCTTGATTGCTCCCTCTGCTTTACCTAAATGTGTCAGTGGGCCTTTATCCATAATTTATAATCACTGTCTTATACGTCAATAGCAGCTCTTCTAAGAACAGTTCGGTAGGGTTACGGTTGTTTCTTCACTGAGCAGCAAATGTACAAAAATGTAGTAGCACCCACCAAAAAGGAGCACCACTGCAAATTGTATATTATTGGGTTTATTGCACTTGAAAACAACATCAATAAGGACTGACAAAAGCCAGAAACAACTATCTAACTAATTCTGTGATGACTTAATATTTATGCAATAACTCCAAAACAAAGGTCTAATAATTATAAAATATTAATGATGAAGATAATTACAATAATACTAACAATCAATTGCATTTCTCTTATTATGCTGCCTTGAATGTGCTTGAATGTAAATTATCTGCTATAAAAAGTCTGACTATTACATTATGAGAAATAAATTTATGGTTTGCATCAAACAAAAATGATGCATTGCAGTAAGAAATATTTATTTTGTGCTGCTGTTTTTATATGCATGTCAATATAATATATAATATTTCTGCTACAAAACAAACTAAATATTAAAAAAATCATTCAATTCAAGGCTGAAAGCAGTCATCAGATATTAAATAGAAAAATAATATACATCTCAAGAAAGAATGGACAAAAGGAAGTCTCACTTTTATCACTCTTTAAAAGTTTTGTTTGGGTTTGTGTCATTATAAATGCTGTCTCGTTATGCGCTCATTTACAGTTTTCTGTGTTTGTGGAAAAACAGCAGGCGAGTCAGGAAACCGGGTTTACGAGGATTCTCGCCGCAACACCGCTCTTTGTTATGAGCCACATCAGTTTAAACTCAGTAAAAGCGAGCTTCTTTGGCGATGATGTGTCTTGTTAGATTATACATTTTTAGCAGACATTTGCGCTAAACAAGCAGTGAATAACGCATCAAGATTCAGGCAATTTCTTTGAAAACACTCGATTGATCTCGGCTGGCGGATTAACATTCACAACATAATCGCTGTCATCGGTACTTTTCACACTTCCCCCGTTTGCATTTCCCACATTCTCCACATAAGCTCCCTGTCATCTGGCAGCGGAAAGCAGTGATTGACAGCTGATATAGCACCAATTTAATCGTGTTCTTGCAGGCGTGGCTATAAGCCTCGCGGCGGTTGCCAACTAGAGGCCTAGGCCAGTCTTTAAATCTTGCGTCCTCCAACCTGAGGTCCGAAAACTTGCATTTCTCAATGTTTTAACTTAATTAATGAATCAGAGGCGAGCTCGCCTATATGGTTGGCAGCAAGCCAGCCGGTTACCCTGCGGTTTGTTTCAGTGCGTGCGCAAACTCCACCTCACGTGACCGCGCTCAGGTCCTACTCTCAACTTATAAATAAATCCATGCAAAATTTAGAATAAAGGCCTTCACTTGACACAAATTGAAAATGTATCTAAAAAAACTATGCTTTACTTTAAAATGGCCTTAACTTTGGCTAATTTTATTTAATACCTTTTACAACCCCGCAGACACCCTGTAAATGCTACGAAAGTCAATGTTCAATGCTTTCCAACATTTTAACATATTTTCTTTGATGTTCAAAACAAAAAACAAAACACTACTAAATGTTTGTAACCACTTGAGGGTGAATATTTTTTTAATTATTTTTGGGCTTAACCATCTCTTTTAAATGTTTATTTTAAAACATCTGACCACAATGTTAAGTTCTACATCACAAGCAGATACAGGCAGATTAACTCTATGGTAAACAGAGAAGAAAAAAAAGTGGAAAACATAAGCATTAATTACTTTTTTTTTTAAAGGGGAGATGAAGCACTCAGTCAAGTGTACATTATTATGTACACTTTAATTGAAATATAATAAACAAATTCGATTAATGTAACCATTTAGCTGAAAACTGCATGTTTTACTATAGCATTTAAACCTAGGGTGCCACCATCTTGGAATATCGCCATGTCTGACTTCACGGGGTTGGTTCTGTTCCCTCAGCTGAACAGATACAGCCGAAGTAAAGCACTGAACACCGAGACTGTAAAGCCTAATTTAACCCAATGCGTGAAATTGTGGACGTAGAGCTGGTGCAAATACAAGCATCAGATGTGTGTCTAATATAAAAATATGTTCATTCTATTCTTCTTTTTTCCCTTTTTAATTATAGAGTGTTTGATGCGCTTTGGTTCACACTCCGTATTATGCTGCCTGACTGGGTTTCAAACATGGATTCAACAAGGTCCGGTGCTGACTTAATGGGAGTGGGTACTTTGACTTTTCACTACTACAGCCCCTCACCCCTTTTCGTATTCAAACCAAACTAAGATTGGCTCGGTTTTTTACACGGCAGGTTTTTTGTCCTTCATACATTTTGAGAGATCGAGTTGATCAACTTGAAAAAGTAATGTCTTGACATAATCCACACAGATGTGATTTAGTAAAGTGTGAAGTGTTGCGTTTCAAATGTTGCAGTAGTCTGAATAAAAACCCCTCGTCAGGCAGCGCTGGAGCAGCGTGAGAGAGTGGACCAAGTCACATCAAACCAAAGGTATTAAAAAAGAAAAATACACAACTTAAGACAACTTAAATGCTTGTATTTGCACCATCTCTGCAATGCACGTCCACAACTTCATGCATTGGGTTCAATCAGGCTGTCCAGTGTCTGTGTTCAGTCCGGTACTACTATGTATCCCCCCAACTTTGTCCAGTTTCACACATGCTCCCACTTCACCAAGCCAAAATGCGCAAACATGCGGTACATGTGAAAACATCATTAACATATTACTTGCTGCGTTTAAAGTGCTTAACTTATTTAGTGTGATGGCTGAGCCTGTTTCTGTGAGGAAAACGCGGTTGGATTCTTGACAGGATTAACCGTAAATCATCTTCCACTGTCAATAAGTGTGAGCCATAGCATACTTGCTTTTGATGTATAATGCTGCTTCGCAAATCAAGTTCGCAGAGCCCCGATGGTGTGGTTGAATTGAACATTGAGTACGTTTACATGGACACCAACACTTTAATAGGAATTGCTAAAATTAAGACAATACTTTGACTAAAGAGTCACCACATAAACAGCGATTTTTGCTAACCTTAATCTCACTAAACTCATACTGAACTAAACAGAAATGGAATTAAGACTTGGAATGTGCATATATTAGTGACATTTTTAAAGTAGACACCGCAATCAAACTATTACCGTCATTTAGGACTTTTCTGATAAGTTCTGCACAAGCGACTGTCAGTAATAGCCAATGCACACACATCGCAAAATGCGGAGGTTTTTTCTTTTCATTTGACTTTAGTTATTAAATTCCATAACCCTCTTTCACCGGTCCTTACTCATATGCGTGTAATACCCTGGTTTGTAAAGGGGGCATGAATGAAATGTTCATGAGCAAAAGTGAACTGTCGAACAACAGTTAAAGTCACCCAATATTATGGTTGGGTATCGTTTGGGTTTTTTCGATACCGGTGCTAAATTAAAATTAAAACATCAATTCATATTTTATACATTTGAATTGCATTAATATATTTGTTTTTATCATTTGTTTTGTTAGCATAAATGCAAGATTTGCATTATGCTATTAACATTACATTAGCTTACTACTAACCTGTAAAAAGGCTGTCATCAAAATCACCTTTTTTTCTGGGTTTGGGGCTTGTGACTTTTACATGGACATTGTTGATCTAATGATTTGCCTTAATCTGAATAAGACAATAATATGATTCAGGTGTTTACATGAGTTGCTTTTTGAATGTTACATTCATGATTCCCAATTACGTTACAGCACATAGATCACTAACATCACTGTGTCACCTGCATAATGTTTACTCTGCAGTTTGTGTCGGTGGCCCCTTTAAGATAATCAAACATCACGGTTTATGTAGTAGACTCATGATCAGAGTATTGTCTTAATCATATTAAAATCAGAGTATTGGTGTCCATGTAAACAAACTCAAATAATGTGTCAGATGATGTCACAAGCTGTCAAAGACAGTCCTTTAAGTTGATTCCATGAGCCCTTACATTTCATGAGTTTGACATGTTTCTCTCTTACACGCAACTTTTGTAAAACATCTACTGCATGTTGGTGTGTCAGAATCCTTGCTTTTAAAATATAACCATACTGTAGAATGCTTAGTTTAAGCAAATTAGATAAATGCGATCATGCGTGTTAATGAAGTGAGTCGCTCGCAGCATGCGCCGTACTGCACGCTTTGCCTTTTATAAGCTACAATAACAAACGCTTGACATTGCAGATAATCGTATCCCTAAAAGCTGTTTAGAATTAAACATTTAGAGATAGTGTGACACATCGCTTACTTACGTGTGCCTTTAACGCACTCTTTTGTGCTTCTTAAGGGCGTCAGCGGATGGGCCGTTCAGAGCCGCGGCACGGCATGCACATGACCACACCAGACCACACCAGACGTGCATTCGCATATTATTTAAAATGAAACTATTCAGATGGCACTCTGTGGCATGGCAGAAATATGAACAGTCATGAGTTGTGCCTGGGCATCGCGGACAGCCGCTGACTTGCGAATTTATGGCGCTGTCGCCGAGCGGCGCTTCTGGAGCGCGACCTGCTTTACGTTCTTCTTGCAGCACTGAAATTAGGCACTGAAATTGATA